GCAGCTCCCAGGCCGATGCTGCTGCCGGCCTGGGAAAGGCGTCTCTACGGGCTCCTCGCCGTGGGCTCTCACCTCTATGCTTTCTACGAAGCGCACCAAGTGTCTCGAAGTAAGTCTGCGACGTGCGCGTGCTCGCTTCTGCAACGCTTCCTGCCCTCGGCTGGTGAGGCTGCTCAGCTTGCGTTGTCCTCTCTAGGTAGGTTTCTACTCTGCTCCTCTGCAAGGAGTGCCTGTGCTCTTCCTGGCTGCAAACCAGCCCTGTGTGAGGAAGCAGTAGCCGGATGCCAGCTGGGCAGAGCGCTTTGTCCCAAGGCTTTTCTACCTGAAGTGCTGGGAAGGCCCTTGGCAGTGGTGTCCTGGCACTCGGCTGTCAGGGAAGAGATGAGGGAGACCTCTGAAGCTCAGCTACTCAGGTGAGGGAAGTTCAGGAAAGTTGTGTCTGAATTAGGGTTTTTCCTGGCTGGTCACCTGCAGCCCCTTGGAGGTGGGTGGTTCAGAAGCAGTTGTGCCTCCTGATGGTACTTGCTAGGGACTGAAGCTAGGGAGGCCCCAGGGCAGGTGGATGGTGCCCTGCCTGGAGCTTTGGGGCTCCTGTGTTGTGTTGTGGGCTCGGAGCAGTGGCTGGGTTGTCTGTGCAGCTTTGGGGTCAGTTTGTTTCCAAACACCTGCCTGTGCCTTGTGTAACCTCTTGTAAGTTGCTACGGTGGCTTGGTTTTGGTTCAGTGGGGCTCTGTAGTGCAGAGGAGGGGTGGGGTTTTCAACAATTTAAATACAATTTATAGATGAAAAGAAGCTGTGTTCTAGCACATCGGTATTTTAAGGGAAATGAAGATGGTATTATCTAATAAAAGAATAGTTAGAGAGGCTCGTTAGGGAAATGTGTACTGTCTTATTAGGCTTTATCAGCAAGGTGTTCTACATTAATGATCCTAGCTGGCTCTCGGAAGTGCTTAAGGGAAGAACAGGAGTGCCAGAAAGGCACTTACAGGGCAGTGAAGAAAATGCTGGGTAAATGGGTACAGGGCTGTGCACCCATGTATACAGCATGCCTTCTGCAGAGATGACAAAAGGCTGCATGGGAACGCGCTCTGGAGGCAGCTTCTCTGAGTGGCTTTGCCCTGCTCTGGCAGTACTGGTCACTGTCAGGTCTGTGTGTCTCTTCTGCTCTGGTGGGAGAAGCCAGGCAGCCCTGAAAGAGAAGAAATGGGGATTAGTGCAGGTCCTGTGTGGTAAAAGGTTGGTTGCTGTCTGCTACTGCCCCAGTTGTAAGGGGAATCATACCACAGGTTCTGGGCAACTCAGTGACTTTGCCTTTGCTGCGGGGCAGAGCTGTGGCCTGGTCGGGCAGCTCACTTGGTGAGCTGTGACATGCCCTTCCCTGGCTCCGAGTATCCCCATCGGTGGAGGCAATGTGAGAACATGTTGCTCCTGAGCAGCAGAGACCACATCCCCAGCTCTCCCTTCTCTGGCTGCCGTGTCCTTAGCAAAGGTTTGTTCTTCTCTGCAGAGTATGAAGCTGCGATGGACAGAAAGTTTGGGCTGGAACCAGGGATTCTCTTTCAGGGCCTCAAAAAGGTAGGATGGGTGACTGGAACCAGCACATTTTGTTTTGTGGCAATAATGCTAACATCATGTTTCCATGCCCTTTATTCACCCAAGCTTCTGACTTAGCTTCAGAGGTTTGTACTAACTTTGTAGATTTGGATATTCATAGTTAATTTTAGTCTTATTGTTTCTAATGAGGAAGAGGGACTTGCCAAGTGTGTCTAAATCTGAGAATCATAACCAAAGCTTTGTTTCTTGATCCCTGGCCTAAGTGTTTCTCCTTCGTTACATCACTTAATAACTTTCTGTTTTACTGTTTGGCCCTAAAAGTTAAAATCACCCTTGACATTTCCTGCAGCATTTTTCCCCTTTTTCCTGTCACTGGATGGTTTGGATAATGCGTAACATCAATGAACATGCATTTCCCTCTTGGTTGGCCTGTAGTCCAGCATAGAGGAGAACAGATTTTTGAGGCATAAGGGCTTAAAGACACATGGTTGGTCTTAAAAAAAAAAAAAACCTAGTAAGAAAACTAGCACACCTCTACCCCAAACAAAAAAACCAACCAACCCTCCCCCCCCCAGCCCTTGCCTGCTTTTGACCTCAAATCCTTTTGAAGAAGTGCAGCTAATGCATGCAATAATGCAACTGATATTGAGGATGATTTACACAAGAGTGGGAATGCACTTCCACAGACACTTCCATGTCTGTGGAAGTATTTTGGTGTTTAGGCCCACCATCGCTGCTGGTAAGGGACCCTTGACCTGTGCTTTTGAAAAATCCATAAAGCAGTTGTCGAGATGAACTTTAGTGGGGCTCTGTATGGGACATGGGGCTGTCAGCTGATCCCTCTTACCTAATTTAGATAAAAACACTATGGCACAGGAATCTCTAGCTGACCTGACTTCATCTGATCCCACCTAGGCTTTGTTGAAATGGGGAGTAAAACTTCTCTTCCAGCAAGGTGCCTTTTCACCCAACCTCTTAGTTTTCCAAGGCAGAGCAGAGTTGCTGTCTGAGTCCCTCAGGAGCAGTGAGGGGCATGCGCAGGGAAGGCAGTGCTCTGCTTCTATGTTGCCTTTCTTAAAAGGCTGACAGAAGTTGAAAAAAGAAAAGTTCCTGGCTAAACTACGCATGAGTTAAGGATAGTCCAAAACTGTTTTGTTTTTTTTCTTTCTAAAGGAAAAGGATCCTAAAATTAAAAGGATCAGGGCAAGCAGGGGTGTGAATTTGTTGGGTTTGAAGAGATGGTCAGGGACAGTAGTAGCAGACTAATTTGTTGTTTCCTGAGAAGCTTCCCGATGGGGAACCAAAGCAAGGACATGTTGGACTGGGAAGCCCTGAGAAGTGGGACCCTTGTTCCAGGCTGCATCTCTCTGTAGTCACCAGCCTGTTCTCCATGTCCTGAGGAGTAGGGGTGTGTGTATGAGTGCCTCCCTGCCTGCTTTGTGGTTAGAAAACTCCCATGGTGTGATCGCTGCTCGGTCAGGTTCAGTGCTAGCATGGGGCCTAGGAGTCACGACACCATCTAAAGTTCTTTTGCTGAATTTCACACCATTAGAAGTCAAAATGGAGCTGTCGGAGCTCACTGCTATAAGTGGTCAGACTGTGTTGCTGAAACAAGACATTCCCCAGATGCTGAGTTCTGTGGTGTTGGGTAATGGAGCTAGTGTGTTATGGAGATGTTTCCTTGTCCTGTAAGAACATGCTTTTATGGCCAGATATATATAGTGACCAGCTCCCTTGATATCCCAGGACCCCATGGACTTTGAATGGAGCTACTGGATAGAATGGGGAAGGGAACGTATACTGTGGCTTCTGGCTGGTCACCTGCTGGTATCACAAGTGTCCAGGCTCTTGGTGGAGAAGGTATGTATAATTTTCTTTACAGCAGGGAGTTTCTGTGGGTTTCAGTTTACTCAGGGCATGGGAAATGTGGCATTGAGGCTACTGAGTGTGGGAAATCCCATTCTGTGGGGTGAATTGTGTGAGTGTGTCTGTAACTATGCACAGGTGAGAGCAAGTAGGTAGGTTGCCTTAGGTCTGTGTTTGGAGACTTCAGCCTCCAACCCTTGAAAGCCTGTGCTTTGTTGTGGACCATTAACCAGTGTCATTTGACCTGTACACAAAAGATGGGTGTAGTTATTCCCTTCCGAGACTGAAGTGATGACTGCTTGGGTTTTGGCATGATTGCTAAATGATTACATGATTGTGGGAAATGATTGGCATGTGGTGACACACCTGCTAGTTTGGGGAAGGAAAGGAGGAAGTTATGTTCTCCCCCAGATCAGGGAGGCTCTGGGTTTCACGCATGCTGCTACAGAAACCCCTTCCCTTCCATCTTTATGGATACAGTTGGGTTTCTCTGTATTGTTCCTATGTGTTCTTAACCTTGTTGACTGTGTTCGTTTCTACTGTATACCCTGTGTAGGACAACACAGATATTGAGTACTTTTTTGCTTTAGAAATAATCAAACTAAAAATTGTTCATTTTTCTTTTTCTAACAGTATAAACCATGGTGCTTGATGGTTTATGGAATGGCTGCCTGCTGGTTGTTACTGGGAATCAAGGGCTTTGCTGTCATTTTGTTACATGCAACTATTTCATTTGCTGTGGCTCAGTTTCAGCTGTCACTTCTGACATGGTTGTGCTCCCTTATCCTGCTATCCACTTTACGCATACCAGCTGTGGAAGAAGCCAAGGTAATGTGAGAAGGACTAACTAAGCATCAAATTAATTATGGTGGTGTTTTTAATTATGGCAGCTATCTTTTTGACAGAGTACTGTCCCTTCAGTTGGTGTAAGCAGAGGATGGCTTGAAAAACCTTAGTGAGTTGAGCTGCAGTGACTCATGCTGGAGCTTCTCCAGTTAGAAAAGTCGTATTTCTTAATCATGCTGGCCAGTGCACGGAGATGAAAGTGTATGCCTTAATGTATAAGTGGTGTTCAGTAGAGCTAGAGTATGATAATAACTTTACTAGTGCTCTACTAAACATATTTCTTGTTCTTTGGAGCTGTAATCATACCAATTTAAGGTGCTGGTTTTTGGGTTCATATCCAAGAGTTGCTTATTCAAGCCTGACCATACCTTATTGGTGACTGCAGGCTTCTGCATGGAAAAGGAGACTGTTTCTCCAACACTTTGATTTGTACCAAACAAGTTGCTTGCTCACAACTGGTTGGTGCAAGCTCAGTTTTGCAAGCACCATACAGTTGGCTTGCTCACCCCCCCTGGTGGGATGGGGGAGAGAATCAGAAGAGTAAAAGTGAGGAAACTCGTGGGTTGAGACAAGACAGTTTAATAGGTAAAGCAAAAGCCACGCAAGCAAAGCAAAACAAGGAATTCATTCACTCCTTCCCATTGGCAGGCAGGTGTTCAGCCATCTCCAGGAAAGCAGGGCTCCATCATGTGTAACAGTTACTTGGGAAGACAAATGCCATTACTCCAAATGTCCTCCCCTTCCTTCTTCCCTCAGCTTTATATGCTGAGCATGATGTCATATGGTGTGGAATATCGCTTTGGTCAGTTGGGGTCAGCTGTCCTGGCTGGCGGGGGGGGGGGGGGGTGTGAGGAGCAGAAAAGGCCTTGACTCTGTGTCAGCACTGCTCAGCAGTAACGAAAACATCCCTGTGTTATCAACACTGTTTCCAGCACAAATCCAAACCGTAGCCCCATACTAGCTGCTGTGAAGAAAATTAACTCTCCCAGCCAAAACAAGCACAGCTGAGCAGTACAGATTTTAAAGAAACCATTGCTCAGTTGTGAGTAAATGCAACAAGGACATTTCCTTTGACTAAGGGCAAAAACTGGGCATGTGTTACAAGGCTTGTCCTGATGTTCAGGGGAAGGGCAGAGGGGAGATGAGTGGGTAGGGTCTCTTCATGTGGTGTAGAGAGGTTTGTGTCTCTCTGAGGGGAGGAAAGGGCCCACTGCAATACAAATGTTATCAGCCAAACTACGTTTGCTGATGTTTCCAAGTTTTTTGATGTGTTTTTGTTGTTGGAACTGGCTGTGACAGGGAGTGTCAAAAACTTGATTAAGGCTCAGTAGCATCTTTCCAGCCTCAGAGTTTCTCAGGACTGACTGATTCTCTTCAGATCTGAACTGCAGCCTTGGCTTCAGTCCTAGCAGTCCCTCAGCTGTCAGTAGGGTTGCCAACTGGTTTGGATATTGTATTACTGGACCAAACCTGAGAGAGATAATGGCATTCCT